TAGATTGGGATACCTCACTGTCTGTTGCTTGCTCGGAGTCGTCCTCCGTCAACTGCGTCCTACATGGCGTTGTATTAGGATCGGCGCAGTAACCTCGACCATCGCCATGAGACCAAACCCGCGGTGTCCTCTTAAAGTCCGGGCTTCTTGATGGGCGCCTCAAGGGGCAGCCGGGCGCGCGGTCTGCATGCGCGGGGCACGTGCAACAAACACATCTATAGAGCTTCCGTTCCTCGATGACCGCTCTCTCGCGGTCGCGCTCGGCAATCTTTCTTGTGTCTTAACAGGTCCAGCCCTTGTCGAGCGAATGATCTGGCCGTCTTCACCTCGTTTACTATTGCGAAGAGAACGCCAGTGACGGATCCGATGCTCAGTCCAACCCTGACCCCGCCAATGCTACATGTATCTGGGGGCATGCATTGACGAGCCAATCCAGCTTCCGCGCGCGAGGCGCTGAATTCCGCCCTCTTGATGTTCTTCTCGCGGTTGATCATATTGAGGCGGGTGTCCCCGCCAGCGCCCCCTCCTCGGGGGAATGACAGGTCTATTGGCCCGCCACGGCGGGGCCTCTAGAGTTCCCGCGCCGGGGAGATGGGGGCGCCGAAGACCGCTAGAGCGAGCGCCACTGGAGCGGGCACGCGTGCGATCAGGTGAGCGACTGGGGATCCGACCGCGACGCATCATGCGGTCGCTATCTTCCCATTCTTCGCCCTCGTCGTCATCGCGATGTTTTTTTTCTCCAGATCTGGCGGCTTGCCGACCGCTTCTGACGGCTCATGGGCCGATCTGAAGCAACGAAAGTAGATTGACATTCTTCATCATGACCAAGATCATATTGAATACGCTCAGATAGATCACTAACGCATCGGGGGCTTCCCCGCAAATCATCACCATCACTTAATTCCATATCTGTCGGGCTACCAATAACCCGAGGATAAAACGTCGTCTGTATTTCCTCGTCTGCCGCAGGAATGGCAGCTTCTGAATCCGCGGGCGCCCCCGCTATGTCAGCATCTCCTTCGGCGGGCATGTGGAAGTTCTCGACAAATTCGGCATCTGCAGGTTGCCCCGCGATGGGCATGCCCAGCCATTCTGCCAAATCGATGTCGCTGTGGCCAGTGAACACCACCTCGAACAGCTCGCCGGCGCAATTCTCGAGGGTCGTACTGGCGCTGAGATATCTGGCAGCCATGAAATGGACAACTGCGGCTGGGCTATCGGCAGGGTCAGCTCAAAGAGACCCCCAGTCAACACGTTGTATGTCGGAGTCGGTTTGAGCCAGATGTATTGACGGACCCCTGCCTCTTCCATCACCTTGAGGGCATTCGCGGCGGAAATGCTGCGCGCTGTGGCATATGTCGCACCCCATAGTTTTACCGTTGGCATCCTTTTTGGGTTTCTCTGGCGTCCGTTGCCTTTTCCCGACGCATGCCTGCGGTTTCTGCCAGTGCCGAAAACATATCTTCATACTGTGGTCCAGTGAGAGATGCTAAGAATGCTAATATGCCTCTCTCATGCAATCGCCGACGATTACCTTTATCTGCACTTCGACTTTTCCATTAAGTGCTCGTCGTGCGAAACGCCGGACCTTTCGGACTGGTTTCTTCATGAGCCTCCGCCAGCGACGCTTGGCCTAAAAATAACCATTGCGCTTGTTGTTCTCCAGTAAGGTATACACGCGTATCCGAGTAGTCAAGGGCTTTAACTTCATCGTCTGAAGGCGCATCGGTATCAGTACCAGAGTCGAAATCGGACTCGGCAGGTTGCTCCGCTGAGCCCATTAGGGCCATGGCTTGCACGGTGGATACCGCGCCAGGCGGTCCCCGAAGCCTGGCCCGGGAGTCTTGCGACCCCGAGGCCGCTCCACCATTCTGAGCCAGCAGTGTAGTGGTCTCAGTTGGTTGTGGATCATCGTTCCATACGTTGTTGGCAGGTTCCCCTGCGTCAGCCTCCACGTGAGAGGTCTCGGTTCGGTGACCGTGACTGAAGATACCACCAATATTGCCAGGGGTTCTCTCAGCAATGTGAGCATATGACCTCATACGTTCGAGTAGAACATCAAATTGTTGGTCTCTCGGCATGTGGTGGTTTAGAGGCTGCAGGAGCTGCGGTGCACGCGATGTCCCCACTCCAAGAGCTCTGAATAACATCACTGTTAAGATTTGGAAGTTGGGGACGTCGAAGCCGACTGTTCAGCTTCAAAGCGGGCTATCTCAAAACGTGCTAACGTCTGGTCGATGCGTTCTCCCGCAGGGACTCGGAAATCAATGAGAACGGTACCACAGTTGAGTTGGCGTTCCTCTTCTAAGTTCTTGAACTTCGTGTTCGAGAGGAACATGATGTAGGTGACGCCGTCAGTATGGCGGCCACCTACGTTGACGCCAAAGTTGCTAACTGCTGGAGGGACTCTCATGGCTATGGTCCGTGCGAGGCCTCCCAAACCTCGCTGCCGAGCTGCAGCCTGCTGGGAGGGCGTCAAATTGCCTGTGGTCACGTTGATCCAGGCATGTACTTCGCGGACGAATTCGCGAAAGGGTGCTTGACCGGCAGGGTCCCAGTGAAGGCCGGTCGTTCTTGCGTCGTCTCCGCCACGCATATGTCCTACCGCACGCCCAATAGCGACCCAGGTGAGCCCAAAAATAATAACACCAATCCTTTGACCTCGTAGGTCGTGGTCGGATGTAGTCGGTTGGGTCTTCCGTTGTGTAGTCGTAAGTCTGCGTGGGAGGTGGCAATCTGTCGTATCGCGTGTTTCCATGCATGATCTCTTCGAAGAAATTTCCAAGTGGAGTAGCTGGGTGGACTTCAGGAGTGTAGAAGCGCAGGGATGTAGGATGTAAGTAAGAGGCCTCCGCTTGAGCAGAGGTATCACTGCAAGTGTCCTTGCGATTTTGCGTCGCTATGTACATTCCTCCGCGCAAACCTACTGCACCCTGATGTTCCACCATATCCGTAGTCCACCAGACAATGCCGTGGACGGTGAGGAGTAGAACAAGAGCTGACCACCATAGGCCAGCTCCGCTACCAATTTTGAAGGGGGCTGGGGGGCCCAGCCAACAACTTCGCCTTAGGCGAAGCCAAACTCCAGCTCTGTAGTACCGTAGTAGTGATAGTCCCAGTAGGAGAGCACGTGCCATCTTAAGCAATAGGAAGATCCTTTTGGTCTCGATAGCGATTGTGTGCCTCCCGGTGAGGCACATTCATAGTTTGGCGGCCGGCCGTTTGAGCATACGCGGCCGCGGGCGCACGCTCGCTTCCGCTCCTTACGTCCCTCAGCTCGCTTTAGAGTCCAAGAGGTCCCCCAAGAAAGCCCCAAAAGGCAAACGTCGCCCCATTGGGAATACGTACATTGTTTGCATGTTCGCCTCTTCTGCCTGAACGGCGTACAGTCCTGCTCAAGTAGCCCCCAAGATCGCTTCAAGACGGTCCCAGAAAATACCCAAGAGGGCCCCAGGACGGCCTCAGAGGGCCCCACGACGGCCCAAGAGTCGTCCAAGATAGCCCAAGACGGCCCCAACATATTCCCAGGAGAGCATCATCAAACTGACATTTCAAGCCCACCGCCACCCAAGAGGACCTCCAACCAGCCAGCAAACGCCCAAGAAGGTCCCAAGCGGCCCCGACGAGGCCCAAAAGAGGCCCCCGACAGGGCCCACATGTGGACTTCGTTTTTCCTCTGGGAGGCGGCGGATTACACCCCTTTAATTGAAACATTAATTAAAGCAAAACGGAAAGCGAACGCGTCCTGCAGGATGTCCACGGAAAATGACGTGCAACCAGGATCGTAACCGGTTCGGAACCATGAGAAAACGAACGCTTCGCGCGGGACCTCCTACGAAATGTGACGCGAAACCTGGCTCGAACAGTAGGAAATCGAGCGTCTCGCGCAGGACCGTCTCGAACATACGATTTGGAATTAGGTTCCAAACAGCATCAATTCCAACGAAAAAACTAGATCGAAAATATCTGCAAAACTTGAATCACTCCCATGGGCAATATCATACCGCTCTGTGGCAATGAAAAGTTCGTCCCGTGCGTCGTCGTTCCCCCGTGTTTTCAGTTGACATCCTGTCTCAAGCCATGCCGACCGGCGCTAAGTCGAAAAACCGCCAGCCATATGAAAACTTCACACAGACCAGCGTTGAAAAAACGCCAGGTAGCCAAGACCCACGTTGCATCCATGCACAGTCCGTGCGCGCGCAATGAAGAAGCCCAGCGCGGTCTCCACAACACGATTGAGCGCGCCCGGACTCTGACAGGCCCACAATACAAAAAGCACAGAATTGCCCACTGTGCCGTGATGAAAGACAGCCCATGTCTTGACAGGCTGGCGCAACACGGACCAGAAATGATCCTTCAGGTGCGAGGGGCTAAACGGGATGGCAGTTCGAAAACAGCGAAGCGTGCAGAGCTTCCTCTGAAAACTATTTCGAACCAGAACATGGGCGTTTCGTGTGGGATTTCTTCGAAAGGATGACTTCGAACTGGGTTCGAAGTCGGTTCGAAACAATAGGAAAGCGAGCGCTTCGCGCAGGATTTCCTCGAACACATGATTCAAAAGCGGTTCCAAACAAGTTCGAAACCAGCGAAGTAAGAGCACCGCAATTGCAAAGTTTGGCCGGGCTCCCGTCACGCCGATGTGGCCAGAGAGCACCCGCCACTGAGCATATGACATGTCTCAGCGATCGCGCGCCACACCAAGGGGGCCGACGCACACATAGTATGATGCTGTTCGGGAGATGCCGGTATCCCCCTTATCAGGGGCGGCCAAGAGGGGGGCGTCCAAGAGGGGGGGGGCGCAAATCATGGCCGGCGGCATGCGCGCGGCCCAAGGGGGGGCCGGGGACGCATTGAAATAAGAAGAGGCGCCATGAAATCTGGGAGATGTCACGGTTCCCGCCATGATTTCCCCCCCCTAGTCCTCACCCCCCTCTCTGTCGCCCCCGATTCCTCCTCCTCCTCCTCCCGGCGTGGCGCGCGCGAGCAGCGTCCCCGCTGGCCTGCGCGTAGGCGACCAGGCACGGATCGGCGCTGCAGTCCTGGGAGGTGGCGCGGGCCTCTGACACGGCAGCCAGCGTGCTGCCACGAGCAGCACGGCATCAGGAACGAAGGGCTTCTCCTCTCGCCACGGCGAGCCCCGGCCGCGAATGGGCTCCCTGGCAAAGATCCGGGGAGCGGCCCGAAAACATGAGCCCCTCGTGAGCCCAAAATGATCCTTACTTCAGCGTCTTGACTGTGCCCCACCCCTTCGATCCGATTCGCTCGATTCGAAGCCGCCTTCCTCCCTGCCACTTGACGGTCGCCAGGGCATAGAGCTGAATTTGGGGCACCCGTTTAGGCCTCAAATCGCACCTTGGCACTGCGGACGCCATCTTCCTCGCCCAGGGAAGTTCGAGGAGGCATGGGCAAGTGCAGACAACCAGCCCGTGCTGATTGCCTCGACTAGACTCAAGGGTTTGACCGCGTCATGCTTGGACCGTTGTTGCAAGCGCTGCAGCAATTCGGAGTCCAAGAGAAAACGTAAGGCATCGAGTCATTTACACGAGCAGGAAGCTCGCGGTTCGCCAGGCCGCCGGGACATCCCAGGACCTCGACCAGTACGCGTGGATCTGCCAAGGATGTCCTATCTCCCTTTTCCTATTTGCCAGAACCGTGACCGTGCTGCAACAATGCGCCGAAGACCTGCTGGGAGATAGCAGGGAGAGACGGCGGAGTTAGTGCACCCCGATGGCACCTTATCATGGCCACGGAGGCAAATCGGGCGCGGGCATTCATGACGGCTATTGTACAACTGACAAGGGTGCGAACTGCAGACTCGAATCCCACCGGCCCTCTGGGCGCAGGTGATTTCGATGGCTTTGCCTTCCAACCCCCCTACTCGCCGCAGAAGAACCTGACGCATCAAAAACTCGGAAGAAAATGGGATGCGAAAGCTTCGTCCTCCCCGAGGGGTCAGGGCCACCAGTCGCGGAGCAAGCCAGTCTCCAGCTGCAGCTTCTCCAGAACGAGCAGATAATCTCGCCTCGCATAATCCAGAACCTGTTTGGGCACTAACTCCAACTTCTGGACTCTCGAGAAGGGAGGAGGAGGAGCGAGGAGAGAGGACGAAGGAGGACAAGCAGGAGCACGGGGGGAGAGGAGGGCGGAGGAGGAGGAGG